TTTATTCATATCAAATTGAATTTGATTAATATCTGCTCTAACAAAGATTTTCTTTGCAGCTTCTTCAATTACTTTCAAATTCTCTTTGATAGTTTTTGAGCTGTAGACTAGATCAATATCATCCACATAACTCAGAGATTGCACTATTCTCATATTTCTATTTTTAAATAGATATGCAGTATATATTGCAAATAAAATGAGTGAGATTGAAGATCTCTGTAATACTTCTATTTTTATCTCAGTCTTGTCTTATTTCATTCCATCAAAGAAGAGTTGTATACTTCTTTTAGATATAAAACAGTTAACTCATTTTATTAGAGAAAGTGGCAGTTTTAATATCTTCAATGTCTGAATTAACTTTGACTTTGAAACATGATCAAATGCTTCTTTTATATCAATAAAAACTGCAGTTGAGACCAGACTCTCATGCTTTGCTATTTGAATATCATGAACAACTGAGAGAACAGTGTCAATTGCAGAACACTGTTTTCTATCTCTCATTTGTTCACTGAATAAAAGAGAATCATCTATAGAGCTTATAAAAAATAGTTGAGTAGCTATTATCTTTTCTGAAACCTCTTCTAGGCAGTTCAATAAAGATATTACTCTATATGACTTAGGAATTGAAGTTTTTCTATTAGGTTTTGCAAGAATCACTCCAGTGGCTTCTCTCCAGCATTTAGAATGATATCCATTTTTCAAGAGATTGAAAAAGAGCTCAAAATATTCATTCTTTAAGTAGAAATATGTATTCTGAATAATCAAGTGATTAATTGAATCAGGATCTGCAGCAGTTTTAACAGAACTTCAGAAGATAGCTGACTCTAATTCATCTTGTGTAAGATCAGGCCATTCCCAGTCATTTTCATCAATGTAGTTGAGAAGTGATATATTCTCTTCCTCTGAATCTGAATCTGAATCTGAATCTGAATCTGGTGAGTTCTGAAAGAGAATTCTCATGAAAGCTTGACATTTTTTCTTAAAAGAGTTTGCTGTATATGATTCATTCTGAAACTCATATTCTAAGGCTGGAAGTTTTGCTACACTTCTTGTTTTAGTATAGTTAAAAGCTTTAAAAACTTCCTTCTCTTGTGCTTCTTCAAGAAATTTATTCCAGCAGTCTGTTTTAGCTCTTTTAATATCTGAAAAATATTCATTTCTGACAGCTTTGAACTCTTCATCAGATATTACATCATTCTTTCAATCTCTTCTAGCAGTAGCTAATTCTTTTCTTTTAGATGAGATATTCTCATTTCATCAAGATTTTGAATACTCAGAAGATTTTCTCTTTGAAATATTATCTCTAACACTTGTTAGAACAATAGATGTAATAAGCTTCACTCTATTCTCAAGCATTTCATTTGAGATATCTTGACCAGAATTTCAATATAGCTCATTCTGTCTCTCAGATTTTAACAGTTTTATGCTTTCTTCAACTGCTTTTCAATCAGCTTTTTCAAAGTTATACTGATTAGAGAGAAGAGGATTTTCACTCATTTATTTTTCACTCAGTTCAATATCAAATTGAATAATCTCATGATCTGATTCTGATGTCTCATTTGAATTAATAAATCAGTTTACAAGTCTTCTTTTCATTAGATTTTGTGACATGAAGATTAGATCTATAATAGACTTCTGTTTCATGTCTTTTCTAAAGAATGTTTGTTGATCAGACTTATTAACTAAATCTATTGAATGCTCAAAGGTTCATTCAACTAGATTATCAGCTCTTACTGCTCTCTTGCATTCTGAATTTCATCAGAGATGATGTGCATTGAAGTCTCCTGCAATTATAGAGTTTCTTGATGAAGTTATGTTCAGAAATTCTCTATCAATTGTCCAGATATTGTTATATTCCTTCAATGACTTTTCATTATAGATATTTATAAGCTGTATAGTATCAAACTCATTTTCTTTATCTATAATATCACCCACCAGAATATCAGGGTCAGATATGATATCAAATCTTAGATTAAATTAATATCTTGATCTCTTTCTTTCATAGATTACTACTCTTGACTTTATCTCAGACTTTTGAGGTAAAAAGCAGTAGTAGCTTGAGTGAGAAATGACATATTTTTGCTCAGCATCAAAATTCGGCTCCTGAAGCAGTATAAAATCAACTTTTTATTCAAATGCAATTTGAAGACAAGAATAAATACAATTTGACTTTCTATTCACATTATTTTGAATAAATGTGATTTTTGAAGAGTTTTTAAACTTTTTTTGTTGTTTTTGTTGTATATTCATACTAAAAGAGAGTAGAGTAGAATCTAATCACTATCATCAGATAGTAGATTATAACTGTTCTGAAAAGTAGAAATCTCAACTGCTTGCATTATATCTAGTTTATTATCAGAGTCATTTCTCAATTCTCTAATCTTAACAGAAGTTTGAGAATTTAAATTCTGTTTACATTTCACTGGAGAATTGAAGTTTGAAGACTTCAATAATTGAGAGTTTCTTCTTTTTGAGCTTGCAGTTGTGAGTTTACTGGCTTAACTATTCTCTTCAGTTCTAGGTTTACTCTGAGCTTCATCTTTTCTCCAGTTCTTTTGAGTTCTTGAAGTAAACATACATTCTTTTGAGCTAGATGCATGTTTTTCTTTGCAATTAGAGCATTTAAGCAGAGTGTGTTGATATATTTCATCTCTTTTTAAGCATGTTTCATATTTATGCTCACTAGTTTTGTGATCTCTGGCACAGAATGCATATTTTGAGTCTTTGAAACAGGAGATTGCAAAGTGTCCATATCTTTGACAGTTTGAACACTGTGTTTGAGCTTTGAGATTCATTCTTGAGTCTTTGTATTCATGAACTCTCATTTTCAAACCTGCTACTCTTACTTCAGAGATATTTGACTGTTTCATTGTCTTTGTATATACTAGAACAGAGACATTTCTTCTGCTTTGTCTGAACTCAATTAAATTTAGCTATACAGACTTCTTTCTCAGTTGAGTAGAGTTGTATTCTTCTAATTCATTTTTGAGAAGTAGTATTTCTTCTTCACAGTCAAAAATTTCAACTGAAATATTATAAAGAATGAATTTGTCTCACTTTTCATCTCTCTCAGATAGAATTGTTGTGTTTAACAAAGATTCTACTGCTGATTTTCAGAGATTCTCATTCTGAATAAGGAATTCAGCACTGAATTCAGGCATTGTAATCAGAATGATGGAGTTTTCAAAGAAGAATGGCTCAATTGAAGCTATAACTGATTTTTAAACTTTAATATCAGTCATTAACTGAGAAAAGAACTGCTGATTGATTTCATTTCTAATTCTGAAAATGAGGTTTAAGCTTAGCTTATTTCTCTGTAATATGTTCTGATTTGAGACTTTGAGAATAAGTCTTCTATCTCTGAAGATTTGAAGATTTTTCTCTTTTTGCATTTTTTTCTTCACTCTTCTATCACTAGAAGTATGAGCAGTATTCTTCTCAGTTTTCTCAGAATTTTGAGCAGGTTTTGAGATAGCAGATTTAGAGACAGCACATTTAGAGGCAGCAGATTCAGCTGTTTGAGCATATATTTTCTTCTGATTTAAAGAAGAAGAAGAAGAAGAACTAGAGAAGAAAGCAGAGCAAACTGAAGAGTCAGTGATTGTATTAGGAATTTTCAAAGTTTTTTGAACTGTGTTTGAAATTCCAAGTTTGAACTTAATCACTTTCTGTAGTTGTCTAGCCTGAGCATGAAGAATTAACAGAACTTCTTTATTCATCTCACTCAGACACTGCTTTTCAAGAATTTTACTTGCTTTTTCAAGTTTCTGTATTTCAAGAACTTGTTGTTTCTCTATTTCTTCTTTCTTTCTTCTCTTCAGAATTTCAATCTCAGAAATAGCATTTGAAAAAGCATCTTTTTTCACATCAACTGAGTGTACTTTTGAACTCATTGTTCTTACTCAATGAAAAGTTGATCAGACTAATTCAATTGAGATATTTATTAAACTCTTTTGAATTGAAAAGTTGATCAGACTGTTTCAATTAAGAGATTTCTAAGTCTGTTTTCAATTGAAAAGTTGATCAGACTATTTCAAAAGAAGAATAGCAGACTTTTGTGTATAAAACACCTGATTTTTTTCACACTAGTTCAGTAACTAGGTTAGATTTTTGAAGAGAATCTAATAAACTAAAATTGATTTTTAAGATAAATCAATAAAATCTTTACAATCTCTTTCTTGAGATACAGTGAGGAAAAGTATGATATCAATTGATAGTATATCAGATGATATGACAGTTTTTGAGAGAAAAACTGACAAAAAATAAATCAATTTTTTGCAGAGAAATTGATTAAAACTATTCAATTTTATTCTAAATTATTCAATTCTTCTCACACAACAAGTGTGCAACTCAAATCAGTTAATAAAGAGTGTAAAAAAGAATTAAGTATTAATGAAAGCTCTTCAGTCACTGAAAAAGTAATTCTTACTTAAAAGAATATGAAATTATGACAGAAAACAACTCTGTTTTTAATTCTTTGTAAGAATATTGTGTAAAACTCAGAGAAAAACACCTTACTTTTTCAAGAGAAGTAAAAAACTATTTCTAAGATCTTTTTTTTTTGCATTAACTGCTGCAGAAGAATGAGATAGAAACTGTTAAGATATACACTACTGTATACTCTTTATCAAGACTTTCTCTCTTCAGGGTCTTGATATTATAGAGAATATAAGTCTGTTTCTATATAATAATGTAAATATTGCCAGCGGGATGTAGAGAAACTGGTTATTTATATCTCAAAATAGAAGACTTTGTCAATGATTATATCAATATAGAGTTAATTCTCAAATTCAATAGAAACCTAGTGTTGCTGTTCTCAATCTCTTGCAGAATCTATTGAATATTGAGATATTAAAACTAGATTTAATATATCTCACTGTGCAGGGATCAAAGGCTCAGTCAGATCTTGGAATATACTGATTTTATAGTTGTCGTGTCTGCCGATTATGTATTGAGCACAGTTGCTGAGGTATCTTTTTGTACTTTTCTGTCGCGGATGGGCCAGATTGAGAGGGGTGGTATGAGGGTGAGACTCGGTGTTGATGTCTAGATACACTGAAGACAGACCGCGGAGGTTGCACTTCAGAAGTGGCTGTTGGTTATGTACTTGATATTATCGCCGAGGTATCTTTTTGTACTTTTCTGTCGGGGATGGGCCAGATTGAGAGAGGTGGTACGAGGGTGAGACTCGGTGTTGATGTCTAGATACACTGAAGACAGACCGCGGAGGTTGCACTTCAGAAGTGGCTGTTGGTTATGTGCTTGATATTATCGCTGAGGTATCTTTTTGTATTTTTCTGCTGGGGATGGGCCAGATTAGGAAGGGCGGTACGAGGGTGGGACTTGGTGTTGGTGTTTTGGAACATCAAAGATGGACAGGGTTTTCGCGGAGGTCGCTCCTCAGATATCTCCACAACTACAGATCGGGGATCTTCCAAAATCAAGAAGATTGGTGCATATGGCTACGTCTCTTCACCTTACAATTTGTATGGCAATTTGGCCCGGGGTTGTGGTGTGGTAGGGGAGAATGGGGGATAATCCCACGCAGGAGTTCTGAACGACGTCTGGTTCACGTTTGGCTGGATAACTCCACCACCACACGGGGTATGCGGTCGGCGATGGGGTCAAAATGCTCGTATGATCGAGGGTTTTTCGATGGATCTATCGGCGGGTTCTTATTCGAAAAATCGAGCGAGTTCGTGAGATAACTGATGTATTATAAGAAGTATGTATAGTACTGTGAGCTGTTTCATCTTAATTAACTAGTATCTTCAGATTTAAGAGCTGATGCTCTCAGTTCATTCAGTGAGTATCTGTTATATCAGATGATATATCTTACTCTCATTGTGAGAGAGCATCTGTCATTGAGTTCTAGCTGTCAGAACAGTAGTGTATTGTAAAATAAAAGTAACTTAAGAACTCAGATTATTATATCTATTATTCAGTGAGTTTATGAATAGTTATGAAGTATTTGAGATTCTTATAATCTGTGATTATCTCAAATTCAGAGATACTTCAGAGTTCAGAGTCTTATTCTTCTAAACAGTATACAATTGTGAGAAGTTTCTTATTATAAATCTCATAATTACATTCAGTGAGACTCAGTTTCTTAGATATAAAGACATATAATTGTAGAATATCTTTATCATCATATTATAATATCACTTCTTCTGTTATATAGTTAGAGAAATCAGCTTCAACAACTGTCTTGTGATCAGAATTGAATATTATTAGTAGAGAGGTATTAATGAATATCTTCTTTATCTATATAAATGCAGCTTCAGTGTCTGCTGATTATTGAAATACTGAGTTCTTCTTAGTGAGTTCTGTAAATGATCTCATAATATCTGAGAAGTTTTGTATAAATCACTGATAGAAGTTAGTGAATTCAATGAAGCTTCATACATCTTTCACAGTATATAAAGCTTCTCATTCAAGAATGACAGAGATCTTCTCAGAATTCATTTGAATTTTCTTATCAGCTTCTATAATAAAACTCAGATACTTGGTATTCTTGACTTCAAAATCACACTTATTGATATCTATCAGTAGTTCTGCTTCTTATAGCTATTGTAATATCTTTCACACATATTCTTGATATTCTTTTCTGAATTCATCAGTGAAGATGAGAATGTTATCAAGATATACAGATGCAAATTTATTAAGAAAATCTCAGAGTGCTCAGTTGATATACTTCTGAAATATACTGAGAGTGTTAGTCAGTTCAAAGAGTGTGACTACTCATTCAAAGAGATTATATTATATTCAGAATGTTGTAAGTCACTCATCTTCTTTAATAATGCAGATTTTATGAAATGCAGTGATAATATCTAGCTTTATAAATCATTGAGCTCACTCAATCTGTGCTAGAGTTTCATTGAGAAGAGATAAGAAATATCAATCTTTCTTTGTCAATCTGTTCATATCTCAGTAGTTCACACAGAATTGAAGTTCTTTATCTGACTTCTTTACAAAGAGAATAGAAGCTGCAGTGAAAGAGTTACTAATATATATGAATTTCTTATCTAACAGATCATTAAGTGTCTTCTGAAGAAGAAGAAGTTCATCTTGAGATATATTATAAAGAGAGTCTCACAGTGACTCAGAGTTCTTATCATTCTTCTTTTCTACCTTAATACTGTGATTCACTTCTGAGCCTTATAAAGAAGGTATATTTATAATGTTATCTTGTCAGAAGTCATCTAGATATTCATGATATTATTGAGAAAGTTTTGTGTGAGAATCTGTTATTGTAGTACAGAATAACTTCTCTAGAGCTTTCTTAATATTAGTCAGACTGATGAAATAGATTGATATATAATTCTGCTATCAGTGACTTTATCAGTGATTTTGATAACTTCTTTTTTAAAGCATTTTATAAGTGTTGGCAGAGATCTGTGTCAGGTTCATAGTCTTATAAATATTATCTTCATGAATTCTATTATTATTAGGAAATATTAAACTTCTGTTTTAAGTGTTTAATAAGATGTCTTGTTCAGATAGTCAGACAAGTTCTAATATTAGATTATAATAAAGATTATTAACTTTATATATGTAGATGTCTTCATGCTGATATTCTTTAATATCTATATTTAATTTCATCATGTAATGAGTGCAAACATCTTTTGAATCATCGAATTCTGTGAAGAGTCAAGGTTTTGATAAGAAGATATGCTGAAGATTATGATATCTTATAACTGAAGATTTTATTATTGCATAGTGACATAGATCACTGTCTATCATGAATTTCATATTATACATATTATCAATCACAGTAAATACAAGAATTGTATTCATTATCATTTTCTCTTTAAATTATTGTTATCTGACCTCTTCAAGCTTCTGTTTATAAATTTGAATAGAAGCTAATCTTTTCTCTGTTTCACTGAGACATTCTTATAGTTATCTTCTGAATCTTTCTCTAATGTAATATGATTGATGTGAACAGATGCTGATTCATTCTTTGAATAAGAAGACACTGATCTTCACAACACTGATTCACATGCTTTTATTCATGAATAAAACTTCTATTTCACATAATTCTTCAATCTTCTATTGATATATTAATCTTGATTGATTAATAAACTGATGACATCTTTATCTATACTTAGTTTTACAAGCATTTTCATTCTTCATGATAAGTAGAGAGTGAGATCAGAAGCACTAAAATATATGAAAGCATCTAAGCATTCTTTCAGCACTTTTATACTTGATTCTGTAGGTGTTGAAATTGCATGAGTTAATTATTAAATCTCTTTGTATTGAAGTTATTGTGTTGCATGTATATCAGCTATTTATTATTATTATAATTTCAACATTGCTTGAAGCTACTGTGGTATCACATCTATACTTGTGTTTAAGAGTTTTATATTATTGTTAGACATGATTATATTAATCATCAGATATATAATATCTGTGAAATCTGAAGAAGTGTAATTATATTCTTATACATCTGAGTGTCAGAACTAGACTGACCGTGTGATCATGTCTGAAACCAGGACCAGAATTTTTGATAGTTTCATTGTCAATTCGACAGATCTCATTACACGGTTCTAACATTAAATAGTAGTTTCATACTGTTTCAGTGAGACTTACTGTCTACTCTTGTCACATTTTTCAAATGAAACCATGATTTTCACTTCTCAATTTAAATTATTTTTATTGCTTTAAATGACTTTAAATCTCATTTGAGTGTTATCAAAAAGTGTTACTTTTTAAAAAATTAAAAATAGTCTAAAAAAAACCTTAAAATGTCTAAAAATAGTAACTTTATGCCAAGAATGAGACTAAATGAGATCAAATGGAACCACTTTCTTATTTTTTTCAAGTCATGGTTTCATTTTGAGATCTGATATATAGTCACTTTGCATGTTTATTTAATGATTAGTTCCAGCAGAATTCACGTCAAGAAATGTATGAGATCAGATCAAATGAAATCAAACGTGAAATTCATGATCTCAGCGGCCAGTCTAGTCAGAACTCTCAGACCTTTTACTGATATTCTCTTGTAAAATCTTACTCTCTTTGTAAGATCTTGTTATAAGATCAGAGTGACTGATAAGTAAGCTTCTATCTGAGAACTCAGTGTCTGCTTAACTGTTTGACTATTTCTCTATTTCTTACATATTATTACATGTTCAGATATCTCTTGATAAATAATTATTTCTAATGAGAAGATAATGCATGAATAATCATTTCTAATAAGAAGATAATAAACATTTTTCTAGTGTAAGAGGCCTACACTGAATAGATCAGTATAATATTAATAGGTCTTATATAACAAAGAGAAAAATGTTAGAGAAGAAAAGAAAGAGAAAGTGTAAGAATCAGTGATCAAGGTGGATATTTATACATGTATGTGGTGGTGTATGCAGTGGAGCTTTGAGGTGGAAGAATATACATGTGTTTGTAGCGGCCGAGGATCAGTGATTGAAACATACACGTTCGTGGCAGCTGAGAATTGGTGATTGGGAATGGCTGAGAATCAGAGTGTACATGTTTGAGAGTGAAATGAAAGAATCTATGAAGTGTAACGGAATAGTCTATATGATTGATCGGGCGCAGCCCGCCACACTTATAAACTGAAAAGAAACTTTCTTAAGCTGTAACTACTTAAGATTATCTATTGAATTATAATCTTTAAAAGCTTTTACAAGTTTATATTTAAAATTGACTTATAAGCTCAGCTTTATAATATAAAAGATGAAGAAACTATTATCTATACAATAACAGATCTCTACTACACTGGAGTCAAGAACTGACTAGATTATTTAGAGAATAATTATAAAAGATCTCTCTAATCTGTTCTTATAATTTATTCAGAGAATAAGTTGAGAAACTCTGTGAATCAGATAGAGAACATCTAAATTATAATTATTAATATTAGAAAAAGAGATAAGAAATCTGATAAAGACTACTTATAACATTTTATAAAATTATAATATAAATTAAGATCTGTGAAAACAGAGCTCTGAAATAAGATCTGAATAATAATATTTATAAAGAGACTAAATAAAAATATGTAAAATAAGCTTATTAAGTAAGACTCTAAGTTCTTAACTCTGATGAAACTGATAACTTTTATTCACTGCTTATAAATCACTGTGAGAGTTACAGACTTATAGAGAGCAGATCACTGATCAGTCTTATATAAGTTAGAATAATAGAGAACAGATTTATTAGAAAAAGATAATAAAATACAGAGAGATTCATTGTCTAACTACTAAGTAGAGAGAAAGAGCTTTATAAGCTTCTATAAACAGAGTATATAATAGAGAGATTAAGAAAAAGAGTCTCTACTTCATCTGTTCTAAATCAGAATATTTTTATATAAACTATTCAAACAAACTAAAATAGAAATTTAAGAAGTTATAGACAGAGTTAGTAACAGTTTTCTTAAAAGTTCTAAAGTTAACATCTGAATCTGTTACTTTCTCAATAAAAATACATACTTATAAGAAGAGACTATACTATAGTTAGACTGGTTATAAAACTAAATTTAATTACTATCTTTAAGATAATCTGATAAATTTACATACTAAATCAATTCTAGAGTTATAAAAAATTGTTAAGAGTATATATTAAACTGTTATACTAATAATATATAATATTCTGATAATTTTATTAACAGAGATAAGAATGAAGTAAAAGTTCAACTCAAGCTGAGATATTTATCACTATTATCAAAGACAATTATAAGAAG